CCCAAAATCCTGAGAACCCTGAAATCCTGAGCAGCCCAATATCCTGAGCACCCCAAAATCCTGAATACCCCAAAGTCCTGAACATGCCAAACTCCTGAACACCCAAAACTCCTGAGAACCCCCAAATCCTGAGCAGCCCAATATCCTGAGCACCCCAAAATCCTGAACATCCCAAAACCCTGAACACCTCTAAATCCTGAATGCCCCAAAATCCTGAACATGCCAAACTCCTGAACACCCAAAACTCCTGAGAACCATGAAATCCTGAGCAGCCCAATATCCTGAACACCCCAATATCCTGAGCACCCCAAAATCCTGAACAGCCCAAAAACCTGAACACCTCAAAATACTGAACACCTCAAAATCCTGAGCACCTCAAACTCCTGAACACTCCAAACTCCTGAACACCCCAAAATCCTGAACACCCCAAAATCCTGAACATCCCAAACTCCTGAACACCCCAAAATCCCAAACACCCCAAGGACGAAGCCCAGAACGCTTTGGGAGGGGGGATGACACATCCAGCGAGTGACACCTGACCGGGATGAGGACACGGGGAGACGTCGGAGCAGCTTCTGCCCCGCGGCCAAAGCTTTGGGAATGAAGGATCTGGGAGCAGCAGCTTCCATTTGTCAGGAGGGGACAAGTCCGGTCACGGTCCGAAACCGACCACAAAACCCTTTTATTCCCTTTCCAACCTCGCCGTAATCCCTGACTTGCAGGTTTTCCAGGAATTTGGCCGGCTCTGCTCCCGGTTGTCTCAGCAGGACGGTGCCGGCGTCGGCGGCTCCAGGTGCCTCCAGGGAGCTCCTCTCCTGTTCCTCCTCCACGTCTGCCAGACCTTCCTCACGTCCAAGCCGGGGTTTTTTTTTTTGGGAACAGAAGGATCCAAAAACTCCGTCACGGTTCCCCCTCCCTGCTCCCTGCACGTCCCGGAGGAGCTCGGTGGATCCCGGGAATCGGTGAGTCATCCAAGGTTTGGGCTTTTCCTGGGGGCTTCTTTCTCCTGCTGAGTTGTTTTATTGGGGTTATTTTTGGAAACATTTAGTTCTGGGCTGGTTTTATTATTATTATTATTATTATTATTATTATTATTATTATTATTATT